GTACGTATTTATTTATCTGTTTCTAAATAAAATATTGTTTACACTAACATGTGGTATTCAAACTAGTTGTCTATCAAAGTCATCAAGTTTTCAATACCGGTAGTATTAAGAACCTACTTCCATTGGTCTATACAAAAACAAATGCCAATAATAACAACTTGTAAGCTTTAAATGTGTTTTATGAATTTATTTCAATCGTTCATCATCAATTTCTTCGTCTGTTGAAACCTTTAAGTTTTTTCCTCAACACCGTGTTGTTTTTATAAAGGGACGTAAATGTAACACCACTACTAACCGTGTATTGAAGTAAGCACCGCCTGCTAACCCAATATGGAATATACGCGGTCTCCACGCGGTTCCTTTTAACCAATCATATTCCTAGAAATGTATAGGAGGTAAGATAAAGAAATATACACTCCATCAGTTCCCTTGCACACTAAACAGAACAACTATGTCCGAAGAGTTCATAAAGCGCTTAAGGGACAACACAAAAAGGTTTTCGATATATAATTATTTATCTTAAAAACTGCAAACTGAAGATTACGTTAACACGAGTGATACATGTAGTTATAAACACCGTACAGTAGATTTGAAGTGTTGAAGTGAGCAACAATGTGTAACCTGCGCGCCACAATTAAAATAGTATTATTATATGCACTTTGTATATAAATGGACACGCTTTTATCCCTTATATTTGTCACTTTCACTTGACACTGTGTTAACACTGTGTTATTGTGTAAACTTGAACTGTTTGAATTGGTAATAAAGGGTCTTCTATGTCTTTAAAATCTTCTGTTGTCGGTCTCTGTATTAATATTAGCCTTTGTATAATGTTCTAGTAGCGATATTGGTAAGTCGTTCTGGTAAACCAAATAGTATTTTTTTCATTTCTAATTCAATATAACTTATGTATTTGTAGGAGAATATTGGACAGATGGGACTGATGATTTTCAAGAAGGAGAGTGGGAATGGCCATCTATTGGTCAACTTTTTAACTTTACAGATTGGAATCTCGGACAACCAGATAATCATGCCGAACACGGATCGGGCAGTGGAGATTGTCTAGCGATTCATGCACATCATCATCATGGCACGTGGTTTGATGACCTTTGTACATCTAAATTGAAATATATATGCTATGAAAGGTTGGTTTAAGGTCGAAAGAACATAGTCAATGGCATATTTTACTATTCTAATCAAGATATTCCGATAAAAGCGGGACAATCATGCTTTACTTAATAAACAAACAAGTTCATAAATGAATATAACAGGATTTTTATAATTGATTGTTGAACATAACGAAGGGAGAACAATTACAAATACACTAAAACACAACCGCGACATGGGTCCGTGACTGATTTAAAGTACATGCGCCTTATTTTTAGCCTGGATTTTTAGTATTCGTATTCTCATCTGATAAAGTCATGCTGATTCGTCGTTTTTCGGTCATGCTGGCTAACAAATTGGTCCTCATTATTTTAGTAGTAAAGATAAATTGAATATATGTTCTGTAAATCTCGAACCAGGGAAAGGGAGACATTAAAGTACACGACAAAGAGACAAAACCAAACAAAATATTGGTTTTCTGAAATTTAAATTTAGATATGTTGGTGCCTGTTTTGAAAGCTATTTTTGAAATATTAATCACCAATTTAGTCACAAGATGTAGAGATATCATTATCCAGTATATGCAGAAATCAACAATGCTGAAACTGTTGTTTCGAATCTCTATATATATATATATATAGTTGTTTTGTCTTATGTACTCTTGATATAGTGGTTTTGAATTTTTATTTATGCATTTTTTGTCTCTTAGTTTTGAAGTTTTTCAAAATATTTTCCTCATAAATTGTATGAACTGTTTCACACTGTATGAAATGTATTGTCAGTGTTGTTTTGTGCATTGTTTGGCGGAATAATAAGTATAAGAACTGTCGAGAGATTGAGTTTCGGTGACTTTTGTTAGATAAACATTATGTTTGAAAAATAATTTTTAGGACTTCAATTCGGTTGAGAATAAAGAGGGGTAATTGACGTGTGAAAGTAAAAATATATTTCAAAGTAACAAGAAGATAATTTGTTTAGGTTTAATTATATGGTTAAATGCAATTCTAGTTTCTAGTAATTTTCAACAGAATCTAAAGATGAATACTATTCTTTTAGCATAAACCACGTAAAATTAAAACAGAACAGAAAAAAAAACAGAAAAAAAATCATTTGAAACTCATTATTTTACCAATGCGAGTACGACTGTACATATGTCATGATGAAGACATGGAACAACTGAATAAATAACCTAATCATAACTTGGACAAAATTGACATCACAACAGCCGACATATCTCTCACATAATTTTTTAAAATATGTTTGAAATAACGAGAGCCAATTATATATATAAGTATATATTAATACTAATTATAGAAAATAGTTTCACTTTGTAAAGTATCCCTTTCAAGGCAACGAATGAAAATGGTCACTTAGAATTCTCCCCTTTCATGAAACGAATGCCAGTGATCTAGAGTATATAAAAATAAGAAGATGTGGTATGATTGACAATGAGACAACTCTCCACGAGGGACCAAATGACGTACACGTTAGCAACTATAGGTCACCGTACGGCCTACAACAATGAGCAAAACCCATACCGCATTGCAAGCTATAAAAGGCATCGAAATGACAAATGTAAAACAATTCAAACGAGAAAACTAACGACCTGATTTATGTATAAAACAATAAACGTAAAGCAAATATGATATTCAGCAACAAACAACAACCACTGAATTACAGGCTCCTGATTTGGGACAGGCACATACATAATATGGCAAGGTTAAATATGTAAGCGGGCGTCCCCCCCCTAAACATGGGACAGTGGTACAACAGTACAACACAAGAACAAACTGTACAAAACAATAAACGAAAAACAAATATGATAAACAGCAACAAACAACAACCACTAAGAGACAGGCTCCTGACTTGGGCCAGGCACGTATAGAACGAGGCTGGGTTAAACATGTTTGCGGGCGCCCTATGCCCCTACATGGGACAGTGGTGTGACTGCACAACATATGAACAACTTATAAAAATCGGTTGAAAAGGGATTGCTTCATCAGATCGATAAAAATCACAAACATGCCATGAACTTTGTTGGAGGTATCCGTATTATAGGCTAAATGCATATGTAGCAGATAGCAATGGATACCAAAATTGATCATATCAGTCTATTGGCAATGATTTCGCATCTTCTAATTATTATATATTATGTTAGAATCCTAATTTGACGGTAAGCTTTTTTAATATACTTTGATTTTTGTTTCAGCTCGATCCAGGACGGTGGTTTTGTCATAGGATAATGACGTTTGTATCTGCAGCACTGTTATGATTAACAATAAAATTCAAATTCTAATGCCGTTTTTACGTTTTTACGAAAGCCTATTAGGGTCACAAAGAAAAAATATTTATCTCGTAATTACGAGATAAATATCTCGACGTAATTACGAGAAAACTATCGCGTAATTACGAGAAAACTATCTCGTAATTACGAGATAAAATTACACACATATATATATATAAACAAGTTTAAATTGAAAACAACGTTCACACCTATGATTGCGTTGGATAAAAACCGCAATTTTTAAACGTGTGCATGCAAAACAAATTTCTTGTTAGAGGGGTCTAAATACAGCACAAACAACATTTTCCAAAAGACCAAAAGAGTGAAAAAGTATATTTTAACTTTTAATGCGTTTTGTTAAAATATACTTTTTCACTCTTTTTGGTCTTTTGGAAAATGTTGTTTGTGCTGTATATATATAGATATATACAGATCATGATTACCCTTCCGGGGCACCTGATAAAACGTAATTACGCGATAGTTTTCTCGTAATTACGAGATAAAAAAAAAATTTTTTTGTGACCCTAATAGGCTTTCGTATGTTTTTCTTAATTTCCATTGGCATCAATTCCACGGTTGAATTGTCATCGGGTATTTGAAACCGTATTACATATTCCTACGCGTTTATTTACAGGATAGAGAATAATGGCCCTCAAAAAAATGAATAGAGAAAAATGAGCAAAAAATATAAAGAATAGAGAAACAAGGGGTGCAAAAGTATAAAAAAAATACGGTGAAAAATTAAAGAATTAGGTAATATAATACTGATTACAGAAGTAAACGATGTGCAGAATAAAGAAATCAAATAATTACACGAACATTTTATTAGTACTATCATTTGCATAAGAATTTTACAGAATAAGCGTAAATTTTAAAGATAAAGAAAAATGACCTAAAAATTTAAGAATACTGATATTAAAAAACCAACATCCAGACCCTCATATATAAATACGTAGCAATGTCCGGCCCGAATGAGGATTTCAAATCAGATGCTCTGTTTAGCGAAAATATCACGTTCTTTAGGGCAGTAGTTGGTCAGTTTAATTAAAGTCAAAATTTCTTCCTATTTAGAACATGTCCTCATTTTCCACTGGCAGTTTAAATTTCCAGCCCTTCATTCCGTTCGGTTCACTTTACAGAGTCTGCCTATTAATTTATAGTTTATAGTTTATTTTGTTCACGTCTTAATTAATAATATGCATGAAATATACAACAGGGCGTAAAGTAGACAAAAATCTACCAAATGTTTTCTCATCTAAAACTGCAGTACTAAGTATTTTGAAACTTAACTATGCAACAGGAAAGATGTATTGATTGGAAACTCCCATAGATAGATAGCTGTATATATCATGTATATTATAACATTGCGCAAAGATCAAACAAAGATGCCAAATAATTTCTCGAACCCCATGAGAAATCACGTTTCCATCTTTCTCCATTTTCCCTATCTTTGACGACCCTGCCCCACAATACTTTTGGAAATCCCTCGCTTAAGTTAAATTTTGCATCAACGGCTGGCAATTATCCAAATTAAATAAAATACGATATTAAAATATCTATATAAACATCTTCACTTCCGTATGTAATCTAACACTATAACACAACTTGCACAAGTAGTTCAACTTTAAATTTAGTTTTTCAAAAGAATATTAACTTCCTGGTTGGTCATTGTATATAAAGAAAAAAGAGACAACACAGGTAGGCCATGTATAGTAATTATAATAGTGTTATTTTTCAATCTCACCCTCTTATGGCTTTTCATTCGGATGTCCAGTGCCAATTTTGCTTTTTGTATCAAAATTGTTAATTAATTTTTGATATTTTGTACCAAACTTGTTTTCTGATTTTGAATAAAAATGGAAAGTCACACTCGGTTTCACTTACGATTTCGTTAGAGCACAACACAGTTTATCAAAGTAGAAGCCTGTCCTCAATTCTATCAATTCCCCGTGTGTCGATGGAAATTCGTGATTAATATTAATACAATTATTTGCATATTGTTAGAATACTAAAAAAAAGTTACATGTACATTTTGTCATGTCAGAGTTGCTTTTTCTAGCTGATTATAGGTTTTGGGTTTTGCTCATTGCTGAAAGCAGTACAGTTACCTATAGTTGATTACACCCTCGTCATTTGGTCTCTGGTGGATTTTAAAACGAATATTTTGAACAATGCTTTCACCAGACTGTATTGAACTGACATTGTCATGGTCTTTCTGTTTCAGCGGACAATGTTGCATTCATTTTAAAACAATGACCTTATAAGTTCACATGATCTCCCCGACGATACCACTTTTTGTTCGGTAATAAAACCAAGTCTCCCATTTCGTATACAAAAACACTGTAAACAATAAAGCCATTGATTAGTTTAAACACTTTTATTACAAAGTATTCAAAATTGACGTCCTTATTAATTGTAAGTTTAATAAAAATGATATATAGGGTATACGGCCTTGTCTATATTTTTGTTTCCTTTTTTTTCTACATATACCTTAGATGCTTTTATTACTGTTCTTCATCTCAAAAGTTAGAGTGAGGCCACCAACAATGAGCAAAAGGATACACCTCATTGCAAGTTCAATACGACCCCTAGCGTTGTATGGTTTGAGCGGAATTATTTGCCATTTTTAATTTTCGATCAGTGAAAAAATAAAAAGTATACATGAAGACTGTGTAATGAAATAAAGTTAAGCAGAAGCAACTCTTATTAATACTAAAATATCGATATTATTAATAAAAACAGGAAAATATAAAACAATCATAGATAGCATTGTTTAAAGGAATTATCGGTTTTCAGCAAGATAAAAAAAATCAAACGATGATTCTTTGCTTTTGGTTTTGTCAAATGCCTGTAAAGTCTCTTTTCCATTTCAAGTACTATCTTTTTATATACAATTCATTCTTTTCTACACTCTTACGCAGTTTCAGACATAAATTAAAAGATTCAGAACGTTTACAATCTGATAAAAAAACAAATTCAGAATGTTAAAAATCTGTTCAGAAAGATTCGGAATGTTAAGAATCTGTTAAAATAAATATAGAATGTTAAGAATCTGTTTAGACAGATTCAGAATGTTAAGAATCTGTTAAAATAAATATAGAATATTAAGAATTTGTTAAGACAGATTCAGAATGTTAAGAATCTGTTAAAATAGATAGAGAATATTAAGAATCTGTTAAGACCGATTCAGAATGTTAAGTATCTGTTAAAATAAATATAGAATATTAAGAATCTGTCAAGACAGATTCAGAATGTTAAGAATCTGTTAAAATAAATATAGAATATTAAGAATCTGTTTAGACAGATTCAGAATGTTAAGAATCTGTTAAAATAAATATAGAATATAAAGAATCTGTTAACAGATTCAGAATGTTAAGAATCTGTTTAGACAAATTCGGAATGTTGATCAAAGAAGGTTAAGAATTTTTAAAGATAAGTTGAGAATGTTTAAAATATTTAAAGACAACTTCGGAAATAATTCTTACTATACAGAAAATTTCAAAATGTGGCGACTTTGTAGTGATATCGGCGGATGTACTTAGAGTAGATTTATATAAAATATATAAAAGTCATTCATTGCAGTGTATGCTCTTACGTGTTCATAAATTATCTTATGACATTACCACTTTTGTTTGTTTTGCAATAAAATTTACCTTTGCACTTTATGTGTTGTACTTACAATGTAAACATCCAGGCAAATTAGGGGACAACCATTTGATGGGGGGAGGGGGTCTCCGGATTTATCGTTTTATTTTCATCTGTTGATACGCATTTTATTTTATTTCCGCAGCAGCGCGAAAATATATTTTCACTTTTATACACAGGGATTTCATATCTGGGACGGTAAAAGAAATTATTAAGTTCAATTTGTTATTTTTACAACAAAGAGACAATTGGGTAAAAATAAGTATTAATATAGAAATAAAAGGAGATGTGGTATGGTTGGAAATGAGACAACAGTCCACCAGTGTTCAAATAAGGCAGACTTAAGCAACTATAAGTCACCATACGGTCTTCAACAATGAACAAAACTCATACCCCTATAGTCAGCTATAAAAGGTCCCGAATTTGAAAATATCTACAAAAAGAAGAGATTTTAAATATTTGAAGTAAAATCAATGTTACTGGATCTGAATTTCTATTTTCCAACTCTGTAATTACATCATTTATAATAAAAGTTAGATAATGTAGAACTCAACGAATGTTTTACCCCTCTTCAATATTCTGAAAATTGATATTTATATTTGATTAATATGTTCTTTAGTATTGATCTTTTATAACATTGAAAAAACACCCTTTCTTACTAGCCTGTACAAAAATTTTATTCTCCATACAGAGTCAAAAGCTTTACGAAGTTCAACAATAATTTAAATAAAGTTAAACAAATTGAAGAGTTCCATTAGTGCAAACTCCGAAACAGCGGCGACGTAACAGTGACTACATTACTACAGCGTTTTGCAGTTTACCATTTGAGCTGATCTATTAGCAAATCTCAGATAAATTAAAACAGGTTTCTAAAAACAATTGAAGACAAATAAAGAAAAAGAACACCACCCTTAACTGTTAAAGATTTTTCAAGAGTCACCTACAAGTGGCCTTAAACACAAATTACTCCAGCAATCAAGCAATCCAAGAGTCACACATATTTGATTTTTGTAGTTCAAAAAGGCTTAAACCGCATCTCCTTATTAACATCAAATGTTTGCTATTTAGAGTTAGGCTTATTGTCAACAGACTCTTTCATGGATTGTGGGAACAAGTGGTGTCTGACTTGCAACCAAATATTTCATCAGCTGTCCATCTTTGACGACTTACATTATATTTGGCATGACCGCAAACTCTGCGAATCTCCTACAATGTAAATGTGGAATGTAGAATGTTGGACTCGAAGTCCAAACAACCTTCTTACAAAAGTATGAATGATCATTGTTCATGAATATTTATCCTTGACCATGAATATTTAACCTTGACCATGAATATTCAACCTTGACCAATACAATTGTTGATTCCATTTTTTTTTTTTGTAATCATTTTTTTTTTAGAATGGAGTACAAATATGATGCAGATTCAGAAATGAATCTGAAAGAATACTTTGATAAAAACAAGAACAAACTTCCCCAGTTAGCAATAATTACTGGTGGAGTTTACGGGAAGACAAAATTCGACGATGTCGCATCTGATCAGGTACGGTAGTGTTTAAAGATAGATAAATTATAGATACTTAAATTTATTCTCTAAAAAACTAAGTACAAGTTTACAGAGAAACAAATAATATCAATAAACAAAAATACAATAAAGTTGAAGGTAAACAAATGCTGACGGTGTTCTAATGTAAAATAAAGTATAAAATAATGATGTATATATGTTACAGTGAATTTGTAGAATTAGGGATTATGTATAATCCCTGAAACTTTCAGAGATTATGTATAATCAGTGGTAACTTAAGTGATTATATATAATTACTAAAATTTTCAGGAATTATGCATAATCATGCACTAGAAAAAATTTCAGGGATTATACATAATCATTAGAAAAAATGTCAGGGATTATACATAATAACTGGAATGAAGAGATAATAAATAAAAGTGAAATGATTTATTCTATAAAATCCTTTCTAAACATCTTTAGAAACATAAATATTAAATGTTAAGCACAATATTCTACAATATTTTTACAAACTACATTTTAAATTTGGATGACATCTTCTATGAGGGTCTGGATGAGGGTTCCTCATTTTTATATTCTTTAGAATTATTTTTCTCTATACTTTATTTATTTTACCCATTATTCTCTATTCTGTATATTTTAGCACACTATTATTGTCTATTCTTAATTTTTTGTCTATTTTGGTCTATAATTCTTTATTTCTTAGCCCTTTATTTTGCACTGTTTGCCCATTATTCTCTAGTCTGTAAACCCCATCTAGACCCTTTTCTATTGATCATTTGCTCTGCTTATCCTGTTTTTTTTTTGTAACAACAAAAAAACTCCCAAAAAACCCGTAGCTTTCACATATTGGATCTAATTTCATTGCACTTTGAAGCGATATAAAGTGTATTTGTGATATCCATTTTACGTGACTCTGTATTTATGTATCTCTTCATACTTTGAACGACAAAATTATTTTATGTCTACCTGTGCGAATTTCAAACGCGCGATTTTACGCCAGTACTTAAAACCTTCCATCCTTTATGGTGGATTTTACATAGATAAATAAAATCGTATAATATAAGCTAAATGAGGATGTTAAATTTGATTTATGCCTTTTTGTGCTTCTTCGTTACATTTGTTTGTTTTTATAGTGATTAAGATGATAACACAATGTTGACTGCTGTAACCCTATTTTTGACATTTTTACCTATTGTGTCGGTTTGTTTTGTTCACGCATCGTTGTGTAAAATCACTGATCAATTTCAGGGATTATATATAATCACTTATGATTTTAGTGATTATGCAAAATCCCTGAAAAATCAGGGATTCTACATAATCCCTGATTATACAAATTCACTGTAACATATACATGTATAATAAACTTTTTAATTTTTTAACGAAATAAAAAGAAATTAAGAATGACAATATATATTTACAAGGAGGGACTAACCTTCTTATTATTACACTTAATGAAAAAACACAAATGTTTTTCATTACTAAACAGTGAGTTTAAAATTGACATGATACTTGTTTTATGTCAAAAAATTGCTTTGAAGCTATAATTTCCGTTCGTTTTTCAATTCAGAACAACAAAGCAAATAAAGAAATTCATCACCTGTATGGCTGGAGTTACATAAAGCAATTTAATTTCACTGCTGTCAATGTTTTGCCACATTTTGAACATAAACACCTCTAGCAGATAAATATTCGAAAAGAACAATAAGTATGCAATAACTGTCCTAAAAATGAAATGATTACCTGTGTCTTTGGGGAAACAAATGTTCAAACGTCTGTAGACTTGGCATACGTTTTCCAAATAACTTTGAGAATCAGGACGCCTTCATAATACATGTAAATAAAAATAATAAGTCTGAAACATTTCTCAAAAGAAGAAAGTCCAGTCCGGTGTGCAGATCCTGTATGCTCCCAACATCTATTAAAATCATATGGTTTTTGCCTTCAACATATCTACAGTACGTTTAACTATAAACTGAATCAGGCACTTAGAAAATGCGCCCATATCTACAGATTAAAAAAAAACATGGCAGATTTACTTTCAAAGGTCGTACCGGAGTAACATCTGAAATCCATCCTATGAATTTTTAAAACTCGTTTTATAGAAAATCAACGATAACAAAGATATTACGCAAGTGTGTTGGATTCGCAGAAACTGCGGAAAAATACCTACATGTATGTAAAACACATCACAGGAAATAAATAATTATAACCTAAAGGAGGGTCGTCAAGTTGGTTACTCATTCCTTATTCCTTATTCGTTACTTATTCCTTATTTCTGATTGGTTACCTATTTGTTTCTTATTCCTTATTCCTTATTCGTTACTTATTCGATTATAAAATGTTTCCCACTTTTAATGCTTTATTTTCTTTTATTTTCTTGTCTCTGGTGTTAGTTTTTGGTTTGTAAAGGTGAAACTATCCTTTTAGCGCGTATTTACACATTTCTGTGCTCGACCGATATCCTGTTACTTATTCGCTACTGATTTTTCCTTATTCGAGTATACGTAGCACCTTTTTAATGCTTTCTTTGTTTTCTTTTCTTGTCTCTGGTGATAGTTCTTTGTTGGTAGAGGTTAAATTACCCTATAATCGCGTATGTTCCCGTTTTCGCACTCGACTGATACCCTGTTACTTATTCGCTACTTGTTTGTTCCTTATTCGATTATGTTGACCTTTTAAATGCTTTATTCTCTTTTATTTTCTTGTCTCTTGTGTTAGTTCTTGGTTCGTAGAGGTGAAATTACCTTTTAAACGCGTATTTACCCGTTTCCGTGCTCGACTGATACCCTGTTACTTATTCGTTTCTTATTCGCTTTTTATTCGTTGCACCTTTTTATGCTCTCTTTTCTTTTGTTCTCTTGTCTATGGTGTTAGTCCTAATTTGGTGGAGTTAAGTTAACCCTGTTAGCGCATATGTACCAGTTTCTGCACTCGACTGATACCCTGTTACTTATTCGCTACTTATGTGTTCTTGATTCGCTTTTTATACGTTACATCTTTTAAATGATTTCTGTTCTTTCCTTTTCTTGTCTCTGGTGTTATTTTTTTATTCGTAGTGGTGAACTTACCCTATTAGCATGTATGTACCCGTTTCTGCGCTCGACTGATACCCTGTTACGTATTCCCTACTTATTTGTTCCTTATTCCATTTTTATACGTTGAACCTTTTTTATGCTTTATTCTGTTTTATTTTCTTGTCTCTGGTGTTAGTTCAGTTTTCGTAGGGGTGAAATTACCCTTTTAGCGCGTATGTACCCGTTTCTGCGCTCGACTGATACCCTGTTACTTATTCGCTACTTATTTGTTCTTTACTCACTTTTTATACGTTGCATCTTTTAAGTGATTTCTGTTCTTTTCTTTTCTTGTCTCTGGTGTTAGTTCTTGATTCGTAGAGGTGAACTTACCCCAGTAGCGCGCATGTACCCGTTTCTGCGCTCGACTGATACCCTGTTACTTATTCGTTACTTATTTGTTCCTTATTCCATTTTTATACGTTGAACCTTTTTTATGCTTTATTCTGTTTCATTTTCTTGTCTTTGGTGTTAGTTCAGTATTCGTAGTGATGAAATTACCCTATTAGCACGTATGTTCCCTTTTTTCGCTCGACTGATACCCTGTTACTTATTCGCTACTTATTTGTTCCTTATTTAATTTTTATACGTTACACCTTTTTAATGCTTCATTTTCTTGTCTATGGTATTATTTCTTGGTTTGTAGTGGTGAATAAACTCATCATAGATATCAAGATTGAAATTTTGTATTTGCGCCAGACGCGTGTTTCGGCTACAAAAGACTCATCAGTGACGCTCGAATCAAAATAAGTTAAAAAGGCCAAATGAAGTACGAAGTTGAAGAGCATTGGTGAAATTACCCTATTAGCTCGTATGTACGTGTTTCTGCGCTTGACTGATACTGTGTTACTTATTTGTTCCTTATTCGCTTTTTATAAGTTGAACACTTTTTATGCTTTATTCTCTTTTATTTTCTTGTCTCTGGTGTTAGTTCAGTATTCGTAGGAGTAAAATTACCCTATTAGCGCGTATGTACCCGTTTCTGCGCTCAACTGATACTTTGTTACTTATTCGTTCCTTATTAGATTTGTATACGTTGAACCTTTTTAATGCCTTATTCTCTTTTATTTTCTTGTCTCTGGTGTTAGTTCTTAGTAAGTAGTGGTGAAATCACCCTATTAACGCGTTTGTACTGTTTAACGAAAAAGAAGACAAATATAATTGCTTTTCAAACTTTTATTTGAAGGATATAGAGAATCCTCAAATTAAACAATAAATGATTAAAGATAGTATCCTCCTTCCTTACAAAAAGACAACAAAAACATATAAACCAAACAAAATGACAACAAAAGCATATAAACCAAACAAAAAGACAACAAAAGCATATAAACCAAACAAGAAGACAACAAAAACATACAAGCCAAACAAAAAACAACAAAAACATATAAACCAATCAACAAAACAACAAAAACATATAAACCAAACAAAAAGACAACAAAAGCATATAAACCAAACAAAAAACAACAAAAACATATAAACCAAACAACAAAAACATATTAACCAAACAAAAAGACAACAAAAACATATAAACCAAACAAAAAGACAACAAAAGCATATAAACCAAACAAAAAGACAACAAAAGTATATAAACCAAACAAGAAGACAACAAAAACATACAATCCAAACAAAAAACAACAAAAACATATAAACCAAACAACAAAACAACAAAAACATATAAACCAAACAAAAAGACAACAAAAGCATATAAACCAAACAAAAAACAACAAAAACATATAAACCAAACAACAAAAACATATTAACCAAACAAAAAGACAACAAAAACATATAAACCAAACAAAAAGACAACAAAAACATATAAACCAAACAAAAAGACAACAAAACAAAAGGAAACAAAAACGTAGAGCCCGAAACAGTCATGTCAGGGTTTTGCAAAAAAAAAAAGGATTATATATATTTTATATCTGTGAAAGAGAGTATTTATCTTTTCATCTTTATAAGAATTCCGGTACCCGTCTCAGATAACTATGCAACTTGACGTGCAATAAGTACACAATTTCTAAAAGGACAATTTAATCACGACGAATGACTTCATATATAAGAATATGGCTGTTATAAAATCACACTTACATTGTGAAAATATCAAAGCACTGTTTTGGTTCTTTCTTGGGCTTGTTATGGATTTATTCCGACAACCCTAAAAACAATTAAAACCTGTTTTTGTCTTAGGTCAGGAACCTCGTCAGTGGTTGTTTTTGTTTTCAATGCTTTTGTTCTTGGGGAATTTGGAGCTTTTTCAAGTTCTATGACCTGGTCTGTTAGATGTATATTATTATATAATAACCTTTCTAGACTCAGTCGTTTTAAAGCTTGACATACTGTATAGACACTTGTCTATTCTCAAAGGTCGTATGTTGACCTCTGGGTGTTTTCTTTACTTATTTTGTTCTGTACTGTTTTTCATTGTTTTTTTTCTTCTTTCCTATAAGGGGTGCTATCATGAAAAATTATCTCACATCGCCTTTTATTCATATTTGATTGATTGATTGTCGGTCGCTTAACGTCCAGTGACAAATATCTCCTGTATTTTCAGGGCGATAACAAATTGACAATAAATACAATAGGTCGGTCCTGTAATAGAGGCCGTCTGGAATGAAGGTCGGGGGAATTTGGACTCCCACTGGGAAATGCGGGAATCCTTTTATTCATATTTGATTGATTGATTGTCGGTCGCTTAACGTCCAGTGACAAATATTTCATGTATTTTCAGGGCGATAAAAAATTGACTATAAATACAATAGGTCGGTCCTGTAATAGAGGCCGTCTGGAATGAAGGTCGGGGGAATTTGGACTCCCACTGGGAAATGCGGGAATCCTTTTATTCATATTTGATTGATTGATTGTCGGTCGCTTAACGTCCAGTGACAAATATTTCATGTATTTTCAGGGCGATAACAAATTGACAATAAATACAATAGGTCGGTCCTGTAATAGAGGCCGTCTGGAATGAAGGTCGGGGGAATTTGGACTCCCACTGGGAAATGCGGGAATATTGGATAGGAACAGAAGTTTTGCCTTGCAACAGGCCACCTACGGACCCCTAAAAGAGTTGTTGCAAGGGTTCTAAGCGTGCAGAGAGCGTGATATTCTTTTTACACGAGGCATTGGAGTTAACATCCCATTCTAACTGGACGTGGCTGCGTACTTGCACATGCCGCATAGCCAAACCGACGGCTCACTTTGGGTTTTACGGCTGAACGGGTGAAGACCTAAGTATAAAAACTAGAGGCTCTCAAGAGCCTGTGTCGCTCACCTGATTCTACTTTGGTTTTGGAAATCATGTAAAAATAGATTAAAATTATAACAGATACCCTTATAATGAGTGAGGCCAAATTTGGTTAAATATTGGTCCTGTAATTTAATAAAAAAAATCCTAGTGGCCATCTTGAACAGTAAATTGGCAACAAAGTAGCAACACTTCATCAGCACCTCATAAATAGAAACATTTATGCCATGTTTGGTTTCATTCCATTCAGTGCACCTCTAGAAGAAGCATGTGCATGTATTTCCCATAGGGTCTTATGTTAAAGGAAGACCCCCCGTTGGCGGCCATCGTGGATGAAGGATCAGCTTCAAAGTAACAAAACTTAGTCAGCACCTCATAAGGAACATTCATGCCATGTTTGGTTTCAATCCATTCAGTATGTGGTTCTCTAAAAGAAGACATTTGTATGTATTTCCCATAGGGTCCTATGTTAAACTAAGTCCCCCGCTGGTGGCCATCTTGGATTATGGATCAGCTTCAAAGTAACAACATTTGGTCAGCACCTCATAAGGAACATTCATGTCATGTTTGGTTTCATTCCATTTAGTGGTTCTCTAAAAGAAGACATTTGTATGGATTTTCCATAGGGTTCTATGTTAAACTAAGTCCCCCGCTGGCGGCCATCTTGGATTATGGATCGGCTTCAAAGTAACAACACTTGGTCAGCTTCACATAAAGAACATTCATGCCATGTTTGGTTTCATTCCATTAAGTGGTTCTCTAAAAGAAGACATTTGTATGTATTTCCCATAGGGTCCTATGTTAAACTAAGTCCCCCGCTGGTGGCCATCTTGGATTATGGATCAGCTTCAAAGTAACAACATTTGGTCAGCACCTCATAAGGAACATTCATGTCATGTTTGGTTTCATTCCATTCAGTGGTTCTCTAAAAGAAGACATTTGTATGGATTTTCCATAGGGTTCTATGTTAAACTAAGTCCCCCGCTGGTGGCCATCTTGGAAGATGGATCAGCTTCAAAGTAACAACACTTAGTCAACACCTCATAAGGAACATTCATGTCACGTTTGGTTTCATTCCATTCAGTGGTTTTCTAAAAGAAGACATTTGTATGTATTTCCCTTAGGGTCCTATGTTAAACTAAGTCCCCCGCTGGCGGCCATCTTGGATTATGGATTGGCTTCAAAGTAACAACACTTGGTCAGCACTTCATAAGGAACATTCACTCTATATTTAGTTTTATTCCATTCAGTGGTTCTCTAAAAGAAGACATTTGTAAATATTTCCCATAGGGTCTTATGTTAAACTAAGTCCCCCGCTGGCGGCCATCTTAGATTATGGATTGGCTTCAAAGTAACAACACTTGGTCAGCACCTCATAAGGAACATTCATGCTATATTTGGTTTTATTCCATTCAGTGGTTCTCTAAAAGAAGACATTTGTAAATATTTCCCTTAGGGTCCTATGTTTAACTAAGTCCCCCGCTGGTGGCCATCTTGGATTATGGATCAGCTTCAAAGTAACAACACTTGGTCAACACCTCATAAGGAACATTCATGCCATGTTTAGTTTCATTCCATTTAGTGGTTCTCTAAAAGAAGACATTTGTATGTATTTCCCATAGGGTCCTATGTTAAACTAAGTCCCCCGTTGGCGGCCATCTTGGATGATTGATCCGCTACAAAGTAACATCACTTGGTCAGCACCTCATAAGAAACATTCATGCCATGTTTGGTTTCATTCCAATCAGTGGTTCTCTAGAAGAAGTTCAAAATGTAAAAAGTTAACGACGACGACGGACGACGACGGACGCCAAGTGATGAGAAAAGCTCACTTGGCCCTTCGGGCCAGGTGAGCTAATAAAAAGATGTGGTATGATTTCCAGTGAGATAACTCTTCACAAGTGACCAATTGAAAAAGAAATTAACAACTATAGGTCACCGTATGGCTTTCAACAATGAATAAAACCCATACCGCATAGTCAGCTATAAAAGGCCCCGAAATGACAAATGTCAAACAATTCAAACGAGAAAACTAACGGCCTGATTTATGTACAAAATAATGAACGAAAAACAAATATGATATACAGCAACAAACGACAACCACTGAATCACAGGCTCCTGACTTGGGACAGGTACATACAGAATGTGGCGGGGTTAAACATGTGAGCGGGCGCCCAACCCTCCCCTAACCTTGGACAGTGGTAACCATATTTCTATTGCCCAGTTACCCTTGGGGTTTTATTCGTACTTAATTTGCTTTTTATTAAAATTTCTGTATTTTCAGGTTGTTCGTCTCCATCGTTACATTACACAGAAGCGTGTAATGGCGAAGCGATCAACGACAAGGGAACAATTCCTAAGTATCCCTGTAAACTCAGACTTAAAGTTTCAGGTTGTGAAAGGACGTAACAATTGTGAGCATCAAGTACAGCTTAATTAGGTTCTAGGTGGGGTTTTCAGAATAGAGAATACTGTATCCCAAAAAAATAAAGAAAAGATATTATTCATTCGCCAAAAAAAAAAAGAAGAAAGAAAAGAGAAAATTCATGGGCATAAAAAAAAGAAAGAAAAGAGAAAAATTGAAAAAAAATATATAAAGTTATGGGAACAAGAAAACAAGGTCGGTGACAGCATTTTTATTTTTATTTTCTTAAAGCATATCTTCTCATATTTTATTTCAAAATTCTATCTCAAAATTTCTTTTTTATTCACAAAAAAATGTCTTTCCATGAACAATCTATGCAAATTTGGGCAATTTTACACGACTTGTAGCTTAAAAAATAGCACGGTGGTCCATACTTTTCATTATAATTTTGAAAAAAAACATGGAAAAAATCTACATTCTAGCAAAGTATAAGAAAATTCTATCTCAGGAAATTATACCAATGACCCACCTCAACCAAAATAAGGTGGAAAGCATTTGAAAACAGTAGTGTAGATTAGAATCAAGCAAAACCGTTTCATAGAATAAAAAATAACTATCAGGAGTAAATGAATAATAATAATAAAGGTTATAACTACAGTACATAGTGTAGCCATATTAGTTTCTGAAATAACCAATGCAAATTGTTCTATTGTTGAATAAAGGTGAATAAAGATCTACTAAACATTATAAAGGTTTGAAATTGAGCGGCAATCTAATTTAAAAAAATAGGATGATACATAGAAGTGTTATATTTTAAAAATGAGGTTATAAATATGTTTCCATATAAGATAGTTATGTACTAAACTTAAGTAAATCATATATATTTTACAGTGGGACCAGAAGAGAACTTAAAAACCATACTTAAAAACAACAAGCCTCCAGTTTTTGTAAGTTTTACTTCTTCACGAACACACACAGATATTAGTGTTGGACCTGATGGTAACGCCCAGTTACTAATCACAGAGGAGTTCAACGAGTATTACTTCCAAGGACATTGTTTATTGGAAGGTAATTATGTTACACGGTAATCCGGGGGGTCCTGATGGTAACGCCCAGTTACTAATCACAGAGGAGCTCATTGAGTATTACTTACAAGGACATTGTTTATTGGATGGTAATTATGTTACACGGTAATCCCGGGGTGGGTTGGGGGAGGGGGGCGTCAATTTACAATTGCACTATTTACTTGAGTGGAGGTTAGTTATATTACACTGCAGATTCCATTAGTTTACTACGTTATAGTCTGGTTTTCTCCCTATCAGATAATAAGACGGGCGGACCTATGGCTACGAAGGTATTTTTTTTTTAAACCGATTGCTACCTCTTGCCGGGGGTTTCCATTAGAAAGTACGGGTGTATAATAAGTGAGCGTGATTTGGGTCGTAATATCCAATTGTTCGGAGAAGTTTGCAATCCCTTCAAATTAAGATGTAGCAATAACTCTGTGAATGCTTCATTGGTGACCAGATGTAAAGTTTAATTTCATGCCAAACTTAGTACGCAATGGTTTTCCTGTGGAAGGTTGTATTAACAATCCGTTTTCCAGTACACTTTCTTTTCACACTTGTTGGTTATTTATAATTTGCCTTTCCCTGTCAATGGACGTTAAGAAATCGACAGGTTGCTGTCTCGTTGACGTATATCCCGCGTCTCATTTTATTCCAATAAATCAACTCCTCAATATTGGTCTGAAATTCCTCGTAAATTAGATTTTTTATGGCTACAGTTTGAAAACTATAGTAATGAGTTATTTTATTTTTTTTTCTGAAAACTATGGTGGACGGTTAAGGCCATTTCGCGTTTTCGCGTTTTCGCTCTTCATATGCTATAGGGCGAAAACGCGAAAAAGCGAAATCGCTAAGTCGAAAACGCGAAAACGGGAAATATTTTTACTTCCCGATTTCGCGTTTTCGACTTCGCGATTTCGTTTCGCCCTATAGAACATGAAGGGCGAAAACGCGAAAACGCGAAATGGCCTTAACCGGCCACCATAGAAAACCCTTTTGGATACTAATAAGATTCTTGATTTATGTTTGATATGTTACATCTATATGTGCAAACTTATATAAAGAGCTGTCACTGGATTTGTAATACATCTAGAACCTGTATTGGATTTTGAATTTCTGACATTGCTTAGCGGTTGCAATCGTCTTAAGGGAGATACCATTTGATTTTTATGGGGGCTTCAATGAAATTTGAAAAAAAAGACAGGATAGGAGTTTTGAGTAAAAAAAATAGGCTTGCTCACCTACCATCGTTATAATTATTGACACTCTAAATTATACAGTATTTTATAAATATCAAAACTAAAATATGTTTTTCCAGGTTGTATAAAACCAGACGACACCACTACAATTATTGTTATCCCAGATATCTCCATAGTGACTATTGATGGGTTTGAAGATCAGCCTAAAGAAAAGTTCCAAGAATATTTAAAGAAAATGAACGAACAAGTCAAATCTATAACTAAATTCGACGACCATGATTTTGACACAGGTATATATATGTAAAGAGATGTGGTATGATTGCCAATGTCATTATGAGCTCGTTAAATTTGAAAGATTCTGAAGAGACACCTTGTAAACGTTACCTATACCATAGGAGTTTTTTGAATATTAAAGTAATAAAGAAATTATCTGGGGGGAAAGTCACATATTTGGGCGTTCCTTATGAACGTAAATCCATAAAGTGCTTTGGACGCACGAGATTTATACAGACTGGTTTTTTTTTTAAATACACGAGGGTATCATCAGTTAAGTATTCAGTGTTTTATAACTTACAAGATTTACAGCATAATTTCTTTTTTTAAATTCTCCATTGATAAATTAAGAAATTGCTAAGAAACTAAGGTTCTAATTATCTCAGCCACACGTGATCTAATATGTTGAATTTGTATATTTTTATGTAACTATTGGTCATATAGCTCCTAACATTTCAACGCATTTAAACAATATTGGCTTTCAAATGTTTGAGTTTGATTTATAAAGTATTATTTTTATTCAAGTTAGAGGCGAATGATCTGTGGATAAAGACATAGAAAGTGTACATTTTATGTAAATTTAACATCTATAAATAATGTCAAACTTGTATACCATTAATTGTATCTTTCATTTAAATATTTTATTCGATAGAAATTCGAATAATTGAGGAGAAGAAAGAAGCGCCAAAACCGGATTCAGACACAGATTCCGGAGAAGACTATGACTATATTGAACCTCCTATGCCAGCACCAAGAAAACAATCTTCTTCTGAAGACAAGCCAAAAACGACTTCTGTTGGAAGACCACTCCCAAGTATACCAAATAATAAAGAGACGCCATCTTTGCCGCCGCGTGGACCACTACCTGCAACACCATCAAATGAAGTGCCAGATAAAAAAGAACAAAAGAAAAACAGACCTTACGAAAACAACAATGTGCAACATGTAAACCCTATTGTGAAATGTGACGACAATGAAGCAATTTATGAACCGGATATATATGGAGATGACGATTCACTAGATGGCCACGCTACCTGTGATATGACGTCACCTGTGAAATCGCCTCACGTAGACAATACGCAAGACGGTAATGAGGTCAGCACTGACGCTCATGACATAAGCAATAGAAACATTTCGGATGTCGTTGAAATACTTAATAAACTGAAACTTGAAAAATATTCGGAACTGTTTGAAGGAGACATGGTAGATGGGATGACACTGAAGAACTTTTCAGAAGGGGAGTTAAAAGAAGAATATAAAATGCGACATGCCGAGGCTGTTCGTCTGATGAACTATGTACGACATGGACATATCCCAAAATAGAAAGACATGTCTAAGGGAACGACCATTTGATATTTTGGGGTGGGTGGGGGCAGGAAGAATTTTTGGTGGATGACTATTCATTTTCATCTGCATGCTTATTTTTTTCCGCGGCTAAGTAAAAAGCGCAAAAATTTGTTTTCACTTAAATTGTGCACAATTATTTCCTACATTTTATTTTGCAAAATGTTCATTTTTACATCCTATTTAAGCAAAGTTAAGGTTTAGCGCTTACCATGCCAGGATCTTCGTTTTCAAATACCCCCGGCCTTCCCCCCCAAAAAAATCAAATGGTCGTCCTCTAAAAACTTATATATCTGCACGTGATTCTCAGGGGTGGATTAAGAACGGAAAAGTGTTGCCTTTCCCTCTAACAACGCAAATAAGAGTTTAAGTATTGGCGCTTTATATATTAATGCCGTTTTATTATATATTAATGCTTTTTATTGTCCTTTTTAATTTTCTTTATTTTACTTTTTAGTTTTATATATTTAAATATTTGCTTTTATATTCAAAAAGTAACCCCTTTCAAAACCCTGGATCCACCACAAATCGCAAAATGACGGGTGGACAGCTTTTGAGGGAGGTGGGTGGTGGGGGGAGACAAAAAATAGATTCTAAAAGTGGGAGGTGGAAGATAGGGGCGGGAGGTGGGAGAAGGGTACCCCCTGTCCACCCCCTCTAAAATAGTGCCATATTTATAGACTATCAACTTAAGTAGTCTCAAAAATGTTTAATCTTGCCAATTGTTTTCGAGCATGCTTTTAGTAACTGCGAGCAGTCTTCGAGTATATTTTTTATTTGTGTTTTATGTATATTTGTACATGTATTCAAAGGAGGATTTGTGCTCATTTAAAACTGGTTTGACCCTAACACATTTTATGTTTGAGTCAAGTCTGACTACCTGTACCACGCCAGTGATAGTTGTTGTTGTTTATATTTTGTAGTCTATAACATAGAGGAATCGGTTAGTGTTCTTGGTTTGTGTGGTCTGCTGTACCATTCAATATGACGGCAAATTTTAGCCAATGAAAAAATTGTTACATACAGATAACATTCGAATATTTTTTGTAATACCTCTTATCCGTTTATGTATTATTGGAACCGGTATAATATTGCTTATTATAATTTGTTGTCTTGTGTTTTTTTTGTTATTTTTTTGTCTTGTTTATTAGTTGTCTTGTTTATTAGTTGTCTATTACACTGTTATAAGGGTGTAGATGGTGGGGGGGGGGGGTCCTCCATTTCTGTATTCTTTGATTTTTTAGATAATTTTTCTGTATTCTTTTTACTTTTTGTCCATTATTTTCTATTCCTTATATTTTAGCACCCCATTATTCTCTGTTTTGTTATTTTTTTGCCCTATTTTTTCTCTATTCTTAATTTATTTTGTCATTTCTTCTGCACATTTTACCCATTATTCTCTATTCTGTAAACCCCATCCAGATCCTCTATTATTTTTGAGTAATGTTCTTCTCCTGTACTTATCATTTTATTGTATGTTCTTTTTTGATTACGTTTTGTTAGCCAAATGAATTAAATTGAACAGAAGGAGGGTTGATATATTCAGGTATCTGTCCAAAGCCAGGAACATCGTCTACTATTGTCTTGTTACACCTGAAGTTTTCGTCGTTTGGACCCGCCATGATAAAACCTTTTTGCGCTGATGCTGCCTTAAGCAAAGACAAATCAATCAATCAATCGATCGATCAACAACAATCAATCAATCAATCAGTCGTCGTTTGGAGAATTTAGTGTCGATGGCAACACTTTTATAGATTCTGTTTAATGTATTCAAAATATTTTTAGAATGAGGATCGACGATCTAAAGTTTGATATACTGCATAGCAACCTCGAAAACTGTATATTGCCCTCTTGGTTTATTTTAACCGTTTGGTTACTATCTCATTGGTGATTACCAAACATATTCCTTATTCACATTTGTTTTTGTATTTTATATCCATAACTCCCTCATATAGTACATGATCTGAATAGAATTCAGTGCAATATTTAGAAAATCTTCGATAGATAATGACGGTGTTTTTTTTTTTATATTTTTTATTTTTAGACTAGTATTGTACGATTTTTTAAATTTTATTATCCCCTGCATATTTTTCAGAAAAAATGAATTTTAAGGCAACATTATTGTGAACGTACATATATGTATAATTTTTTCTTGAAACCGTTTCTATATGGATTTTGCATTAGACAATGGCGCTTTTTTAAATTTTTTTTTTTACATTCTGAATAAAAATTATATTGACTTTATGTGTATTTTTACATCTCCGTTTTTTTAAATTGGTGTTGCCGATTGCGCGTCTTTTTTAGATGCAAGGAAGTAATCCGGCTACCCGCTTCTTTCCCGTTAACCGGTACTCTGCTACCCGCTTCTTTCCCGTTAACCGGTACTCTGCTGCCCGCTTCTCTCCCGTTAACCGGTACTCTGCCGCCCTAACGGGAGAAGGGTGGACATAGTGTTGTTATCTTGTCTAATATTCTGTATCTTCAATTTGACTAAACTCGAAGTGAATCAGAACGTTACATTTGATATAGGTAAAAGTCTATTGTTGATGACGTAAGTGGACCTCTAGATTGTTTTACTAAGTTGTTCAGTTGTTATCGTTGACATATATATATATATATATATATATATAAGTCTAGAGATTTGCACAACGATACTAATATAAGATGGTATTATACGAAGATGTTGTTAATAAATCGTGTTGACAAATATTTCGGCTTAACAAATAGCCTTCTTCAGTGTCAATTATTTTAACAATACTTACAATAATTGACACCGAAGAAGGCTATTTGTTAAGCCGAAATATTTGTCAACACGATTTATTAACAACATCTTCGTATAATACCATCTTATATTAGTAACGTTGTGCAAATCTCTAGACTTATATATTTTTTTCCTTATCTGCACAGTATCGTCTATTCTAGACGATCCGGTACATAGTAAATTTGCTGGTTGGTCCTTTTTATAGACTTATATATATATATATATATATAAACGCCTAAAAAGTGTACACAACAACACCAATAACAAAAAAAGGAATTATAAATGTAATTATTTATAAATATTTCGGATAACAGATATCCTTCATCAGTAAATATGATTGTGATGTTGAATGAATCATATATCAGTCTACTTAGATTAAACTATACAAATCTTGAAATTTATACAATAAAAATGTCAAACCGAACATCAGGTAAGACGCTTGCACAATTCTAAATATGTGTTAAACACGACATAGGTTATATGACTAATTACAACAGAGAGTTCAAATATATGCTTTAAATAAAAATAATAATGTGCGATATGAACTAGCACAATTCTAAAGCTTTAACGGTGACGACAGTTATGATGTTACAAGAACGATTGCGTCAATAAGAATTCCAAATAAACAGCACTGAACGATCTAAATTTGTAAATATTTCAAATTTGACAACGGTAGAGTAGTTGCAACAGAGTCTGCGTATTTAAACATCGCAAACAAACGGCCGTTAAAATATAATAATAAATTTTGACTAAGGTTAACTAGTTGAACGTGGCTTGGTACTTTTACATCCCTCAAAAAATTAAGCAATTTAAATTGGTATATTCAACAGATTTATTTTAGAGATGAGTAAGGTAAAGAAATAGAAACAGAGACTGTAATAAAAAGTAATACAACCCAAATGTGAAGCACTGCATGGAGTCGAACTACATCTTTTCATTTATCCCATTTGGTGCCAAAGTTGTTAATTTTCTTATCCAAAATCTTTCCCGAGTGAGTCTATCCTCCCTAGACCAAGCAGAGTTGTGGTCAATGATTGTAATGGTCAGTCGATTGAGAAATACAGCACAAACAACATTTTCCAAAAGACCAAAAAAGTGAAAAAGTATATTTTAACAAAACGCATTAATTTTGACTAACAGGTCGAACAACTGATGTTCTTAAACAATGCTGACTGCCATTGGCGATTGCCAAATAAACGTATCACAAGATGTAACAAAATGGATCTTAAAAATTATTAATTTAATACCAAATACCAAACAGAAAACAATAAACTTGCGGAATAGATGGGATACCGCAAATATGAGGTGCAAAAATGTGTACACCATATCTGGATTTCGACAATTAATGTCTCTTCAGTGATGTTAGGAATCGCCGGAAACGGTATTTGGAAGGCCATTATAATTTACCTCAATTTAGGATAGACTCTTAAATTTTGAAGAGTCGAAATAGGATGAACGGATCATATAAACCCAAAGGCAAATATAATACAAGCCCAAACGAAAAAATATAAACAAGTCTAAATTGAAAACAACGTTCAAACCTATGATTAATATATATATATATATCCAAATTTTACTTTTATTCTTCGTGTCCATAATAAAGGAACCGAAAGGTTTGAAGATAACAAATTATTTGTGAAGTTGTGATCTCATGATCAACTGGCTTAGGATTTTTCAATTTGTTTCGAAAGAAGTGTGCACACAGATCAGTGTGGATAGTAATTGTTTTATTAAATTAATGTTATTGTGTTTGACAAGTTTTTTTCCCAGAGAGTTTATGCATGGGGGTGCCCTAACAGATATTAGCTTTTTCTATGTCTTTCTAATAGGGTTCTATGATATACTGTTTTCTACGGCGACAGACATCCTGTTTCGAAATTATCGGTAAATGATATGTTTAATATTTAGAGTCATTTTTTATATGCATGATCTGTACCATGAGATTGTACTTAAGGTGGTACCCAACACCTTGACTCAAATTAATTTGGCTCGTTTAATTTTCATAAGATTTTGACAAAGTATTTACTTTGACCCTTTGACAAAAATATAAAAATTTCAGAAAATTTGAACCAACCAATTTATCAGAAAAATTACACTGGTTATATAGCAGTTTGACAAACACTAATTTTGACCATTGAGAAGCTTAATATTCCCTTAACAACACAACGTAATTAAAACGTTTAGCTGATTTTACAGAGTTATCTCCCTGTAGTGTTAGGTACCACCTTAAAACCACTAAACTAAACAACTTCACAAGCTAATGCATGACGTTTGTTCTAAGTGTTTTGTTAATTGTTCAAAGTACAAGTGGATAACATATCATTAAAAAGTTCTTTCATGAGGGAAACATTAAGTATCAAGAGTATGGTTTATCTCTTGCAAGTTGCTGAAGGATTTAAAGTAGAGGCTCTGGTCCGGATGTGTAACTTTATTGGATTACATACAGCTTACTCTATATATATATATCTGTAATAAATATTACACTTACATAGAAGTGTTATCATTTATCAGGACAAAGTTCAGGTTTTGGCAAAAAAAACAGAAAAAGACAAGAAATAACAGTAATTCATAATTGCCATTCATATTAAGAGTTTATAGAAAAGATGAAATAACTTACTATGTATTACTTCTATGTAAACTAGATATAGTCGTCTCATTTCTTCGTCGCTTACGCCACTCAGATATGTGAAGACTATACATAATACATACATGGTAACCTTGAGACTGCATTTGGCTAAAGAGATTATATCAATCGCCTTGTAGATATGTAGGACTCGCATCTATAGTGGGTTCCAGATCTATGGCAGATTCCAAATCTATGGTAAATATGACGTCATACCATCCCAAATCTATGTCAGATTTTTTAAAATCTAAATCTATGGCAAATTTTCTAGGTTTCTATTTCAATCATGAATATCTAATAGTTTCAAAACAGACCTGGTTCATATCTGGACCACACAAGGCATGAAACCATATGATTATTTCACATCATTTGTTAATTTGATATCACGCGTGCAGTTACTATTCTTGAAATGGAGGTCAAGTAAGTACAATTCTGACCAAAGATTTACCTTAACTTAATTTGTGACAAATGGTTTTCTCAAGAAATCTTACTTTCTCCATTAGTACAGTTATTCGACATAAATAAAGCTGAAAATCATGCAAATAGTTATTGGAAATCTATCACAAATTGTTTTTTTTTTAGTTTCCAAATATCAAGAAAGATTATTTGCTGCAACAGTACAGTTAGTCGCTATAATTTTGCTGAAAATGCTGTAGATTATGTTTAAAAGAAATTTAAACAGTATCATAGGGATAAAAAATTACAAGAAAACAGTATAACAAAAAGTAAAATCACAAAAAACTGAACTCCGAGGAAAATTCTAAAAGGAAAGTCCCTAATCAAATGGCAAACTCAAAAGCTTAAACACATCAAACGAATGGATACCAACTGTCATATTCCTGACTTGGTACAGCCATTTTCTGATGTAGAAAAATGGTGGATTAAACCTGGTTTTAAAGCTAGCTAAACCTCTCACTTGTATGACAGTCGCATCAAATTCCATTATATTGACAACGATGCGTGAACAAAACAAACCGACACAATAGGTAAAAATGTCAAAAACAGGGGTACAACAGTCAACATTGTGTTATCATCTTAATCACTATAAAAACAAACAAATGTAACGAAGAAGCACAAAAAGGCATACATCATATTTAACATCCTCATTTTGCTTTTTTATTGTACGATTTTATTTATCTATGTAAAATCCACCCATAAAGGATGGAAGGTTTTAAGTACTGGCGTAAAATCGCGCGTTTGAAATTCGCACAGGTAGACATAAAATAATTTTGTCGTTCAAAGTATGAAGAGATACATAAGTAGAGAGTCACGTAAAATGGATATCACAAAAACAGACTTAACAGTAAAAGTAAAATTAATAAATAAAATAATTTTGTTGTTCAAAGTCTGACGGGATACATAAGTACAGAGTCACGTCAAATGTATATCACAAAAAACAGACTTAACAGTAAAAGTTATATTAATAAATAAAATAATTTTGTCGTTCAAAGTATGTTGGGATACATAAGTATAGAGTCACGTCAAATGGATATCTCAAAAAACAGACTTAACAGTAAAAGTAATATTAATAAAGACAAATAAAAGAATACTATAACACGTTATGAAGATGATAAACAATGTCAATTCACAAATAATTGTGAAAGAAAAGAAAAAAAGCACACTAAAGTCACAGTAAAAACTCATACAATCAAGAAACAAGGCAACACCAGGAACACAGACGAGGACAAGAAGACATGGAGCAGAAACAAACACGAAACACAAACAACGAAAACACCCGCCAAAAACTAAAGCATGGATAATGCGAAGTATAGCCGAGAGTGAAATCAGGTGCTCCGAAAGAGGAAACATTTCCTGCTCCTGTGGCACTCGTCGCAATGTCCAAAGGTAGCGAAAAA